CACAAAATATAAAGACCTGCAAATAGAAATAGAATGACTGTGGCAAAAGAAAGCAAAGATATTACCAACAGTAATAGGTGCCATGGGTGCAATTCCAAAACATCTGGAACACCACTAGAACACCATTGGCATTGACAAAATCACCATCAGTCAATAACAAAAGGCAGCTTTACTTGGACCAGCTTATAACCTGCGATGATACCTTTAAAACCATCAAACAACATCTGCCTATCTCAGGTCCTCGGGAAGGACTCGATGGGTGGATAAAAATGCCAAATCCAGTCTAAGCATCTGGCTGACTGCGACCAATCATCATCATCATCCTAAACATCTGCCTATCCCAGGTCCTTGGGAAGAACTCAGTAGGTGGATAAAAATGCCAAATCCAGTCTAAATATCTGACTGGCTATGCGATCAACCATCATCATCATCATCATCATCATCATCATCCACTGCTCTCCTTGGCTCCATTACTCCCATCCTTGTTGTATACCTGGGAGATGGAAAATATCACACACATCCCACCACTGTCACTGCTGCCATTCCAGCTCCAGACCACAGTCTCTGGATGCAGTGCGTGCTTCACTCTGATGTTCTGCTGGTTCCATTGCTACTACCAGAGCTATCATCAGTCCATCAGGGCTCTGCTCCCCACCAGTGTTCAGTGAGTAAGTCCAGTAGTGACAGAAATAACATCTGCTGTATTTACTTACTAAAATGTTGCTACCACTGTTGCTGAGGCCTTTTTGGCTCCAGCCAGCTAAACTGACTGCACACCTCATCCCCACCACAATACACTATTACCACTGCCACCACTGTTCAACTCTACTTCTAATTCTTGTTCTTCTCCTGTTGATCCAGCCTCTGAACTATGCATAGACCACACATCTTCCTCTATTGACCTAGTAAGTCTTGCTGTACCAGTGGGTCTATAGAGCTTCCAAATCCTGTAAACTATATTTCCCTCCCTCCAACACCCACATTTAAACTAAACTATCAAACACTGAGCTTATCCCTTGGATAGACTCTGCTGAAACAAATGAAACTTGGGCAAGTTTTTCTGAAGCTCCCATTCATTTCACTGACCTTATGTAGAAAATACCTACAGTAGATTTTTCTCTCTGTCTTTAATAAATCCATATTGTTCAAGAAATTGTGTGTATGGTAAACCTAGTGCTTTTTTATATAGATTTATCAGATAATTTATTTCAGCCCTTAACACCAATTCAGATATCCTTCCAGTTGCATAAGAAGTCAGCCCATGCAGTACTTTCCTACAGCAGATTTAGAAGCTATTTTAGATTCTTTTGTTACTGATCTGAAGACTGTCATTCCTCATATATGTGGATTTCCTGTTTTCTTGACACAGAAAGCAATGTGCACTACAAACAATTTTACACCAGTGTCTGTTCAGGTAATAGAAGTGTGTGTGTATGTATGTATGTTTTTGTGATTGTGTGTGCGCGTGTGATATATATCCTGTTTATTAGTATATAGTTGATTAAACATTGAAATAGTCAATTATCTTCATTTTTATCAATATATCTTTTCTATTGCTTTATTATCATAATTTAATAAGGCAGCTAAAGTGTGATAGTGAACAATTAGAGCAGACACAGTTTTTTGCTGTGACACCAAAACACTGATGGTTTTTCTTGTAACTGGCATATCCATAAATGGCTAAAATGATTCCTTAAGGACTAGCTAAATGGAAGTTCTGACTACTATGATACTTGTTTTTCTGTGGAAACCTCATGTATAATAGAAAATAAAATAACAAAATGGTTTATTTGACTGCAGAATCATGGACTAATTATTGCCATACAGAGTTTTGAATCAATATTTTTCTTTGATGTTGAGAAATGCTAGCAATCAACCACAAGTTTAAGCTGTCTTGAGTAATAAAAATAAGGGAGAGAGATGAAAAAACTGCTTATTGGTATTTTGAGACCTTCCATAGCAGTGCTAGATACTCAGTCATTTTTAAAACTACAGTTGAATTACATCTGATCTGGTCTTAAATCAGTTAGGTTTGCATTTTCCTATTAGCTGTTGATCACATTGCAGCTTAGCTCTGCCTGATCCCTATAGATATGGCTTTGAAATTTTACATATGGGTTTTGTCTGAAAATCTGTGCTTACAAAACAAGAGACAATTTTGTATCCTTATACTTTATTTTCCATCCACTTTTAAAATTCATATTGTATAATTATGAAATATAATAAACCAATATGGTTCTTGCTATTGATTTTATTATTTAGTATGTATACATTGCATAACATTTTCTTCAGTGCTGCTCAAACATTAAAAAGTAAAACAGTCTACTCACCATTTTGTAGGAATGGAAAAGAAAGGAAAAGGAAAGTAGTAAGGATGCATGAAAGGAAGCATTTAAGCATCTGTACTTTCTTTGGTTTGTAACAGAAGGCACGTTATGCCTTTCTTCAGTTCAAGGGCAATACAGTGGGAATGAGTACTCTTTCTGGCAGAAAAGTAAAAACAGGCTCCCTACAGCTGACACTTTTCTGGGTGAAAGATAGAATTTGATTACATGATTTTTACATGATGATCTTCCAAGGAAGAAGGAAGTATAGCTAGCTCCCCAGCTGCCCTTAGTTAACAAAGAATTCCAGTTATTTCTGGAAGAGATCCATCTTAGCAAGCAGTGATGAACAATGGAATTGACACTGAAGGTGCTGTCAGTATGTAGGTGGCATCTAGTCTTATCTCTCCCTCTAATCTGAACCCAGATGCTGTATCATGCCCTGTCAGGGACTAGCTATAAATCTGAGCTGCACTAAAATCTGAACTGAAATGCACTGAATCTGATCAAGGCTAAAGGGCTTTAATTTGCTGTGTTATCTTATTCAGAAATTCTAACAGTAGTATTTTTTATCGTGCGGTGAAAATAATGTAACTCACATTAGAAAATTTTATCTATTATATAATTGCAGAGTATTGTGTATATATCTTTCTTTGCCTAATATATTTCTGTAGTGAAAAGTGCTGACACCAGCAAATGCAGTGACACTAGAATGAATTATATAATATAATGAGTATAAGGATTAGAAGAGAACTTGGAGTTCATGTAGTTCAACCCCTGCTCAGCACAAGAATCCACTACTGCACTACACGAATCCCAACAAATGGCTATCCAGCCTCTGCTTAAACCCCTCTGATGAAAGAGAATACAGCTACTTAAGTCTATTGTTGAACAGCTTTTACCGTTAAGAATGTTTTCATGATGTCCAACAAAAATCTATTTCTGTGTAATTTAAACTCATTGTTTCTTGACCTAACTTCTGGAATTATATCTTCTACAGGGAAACCCTTCAGATACTTCAACTATTACGTTTCCCTGCAATCTTCTCCATACTAAACATACCCAGCAGCTTCATAAATTCCTCATATGTTTTTCTTTCTAGACTCCTTGTCATTTTCATTGCTGTTGTTTGGACACGCTCCAGGTGTCAGTGTCTTTCCTAAAATGCAGTGCCCAGAACTAAAGGCAATATTTTACGTATCTTCTAACCAGTGCAGAATATAGAAGAACACTTACTTTTTTTAATCTTGACACTATTTTTCTGCTGATGGAGCCTAGGATTGCCTTTTCCCCTTTTTTTCTTTGCAGTTGCATCACACTTTTGGTTCATATTCACATTGTGATCCATGAAGACACCCAGATCCTTTTCACCTGTATCGCTGTCCATTAGGGTCCCTCTAACTGTCTACGTCTGTAGGACTTCAGATTTGTCTCTTTTGAAATTATTTTGTTCTTGTTCCAGCTTGTCAATATTCTCCTGAATCTTGATGCTGTCTTCTAATGTGTTTGCTATTGTTCCCATCTTAGTGTAGTCCATAAAATTGATAGTCATATTTTATAACCTCTCGTTCGGGTCATGGATAAAGATGTTGAACAGTACAGGGCCTAGAGTATAGCTCAGTGGTATGCCATACCTCACTTCCCTCCATCTTAACAAAGAACCACTAACATACACTTTATTGGGTACTATTGTTCAGACTGCTTTGTATCCATCTAATGGTAGAATAGTCCATCCCACATTTTCTCATCTTCTTTACTAAGATCTCATGGAAGACTTTGTTGAATGAATTCCTGAGGTCAATTAAATTGGTCGTCCTATCAAAAAAGGAAATCAGGTTGATTTGGCATAACTTGTTCTTGATCAAACCATCCTGACTCCTACCATTCACAAACTGACTGCTTAATAATCTGTTTCAGTGATTTGCCAATCAATCTGATCTGTGGATACTCAGGTTTTATTTTTTTCCCTCCTTTTTGAAGACAGGAACATTTGCTTTTATACAATCCTCCTAGCACTATTCCTGTTGTCTGTGATTTTTCAGTATCACAGAAAGGGGATCCAAAATGACATCCACAAGCTCATTCAATATTCTCAGATGCAATTGAATTCCAAGAAGTGGTATATGAGATAAGCTACTAACTAACTCCTTTCCCATTTGTTGGTTGTTCACATCCAGAGTTCCTCCAGTTTCTCAGCCTTCTCATAATCTCTCATACCTTCTTTTCTTTTCCTTTTACTAGGCAAAAAATCCTTTTTGTTGCTTTTAGCTTTCCTTATGAATCTAAGTTCCTTATGAAGTTGTAGCCTTTCCAACTTTCTTTTTACAAATATTAGCTACATGTAGTCCTCTTTAGTGACCATAATTGGGACTGGCAACTCAGTTGTCAAGTGAAGTGGTTGCTAAGTGAAACCATGACTGTGCTTATGATCTTACTTCAGCTTTCCTTTGCTTTATACACCTGCGAAAGTTGTAAATGCAAGGATTGGTCATAAAGTTACTTTTTCATCACCATCATAACTGAAAATGGTTGCTAAACAAGGC